CAGGGGTGGGGGCGGGGATGTCAAGACCTGCCCCTGTACTTGCTCCGCCTTCGCCCCTCCCTGCTTAATAATATAATTAAAAAAATATTTATATATATAAAAACCAAAATTAAAAATATTTATATATAAAAATTTGTATTATCTTACTTTTCTTTTATTTTTTTAAATTTTTTCATATTTATTAAAAATAAATAAAGAAAAAAAAAAGAAAAAAAGAAAAATAAAAAGGTAAGACCGAGAACGGGGCGGGACAGGGAAACTCGAATCTCGCCAGCAACGGGGATGGGTACCCAGATTTTACCTTCCAACAAATATCGAAAATAGGCGGGAGCGGTTTAAATCTGCGGGACAGGGACGAGAAACATAAAACTCGGCCCCGCTCCGCCCCTTTTCCATGCCTATTGTGGAGGAACGGGGATATGTGGTGCATTCGCAAATAAGATTTTTAGTTTTATGAAAAGTCTTTAATGTAACACTATCGAGATCTACATCAATTATTTAATCAATATAAAATTTTTTATACTCGATGTTATAAACCCTTCCTATACTAGTTAATTAGTAGTTTGTCCTATAATATATTGAATTTTTTTATTGTTTATTTGTAATTATATATAGAGAAAACAACAAAACAAATAAATTATTAAAAAAAAGATTTTTTTTGTGTTGATTATGGTCTTAATCAATATAGAAAGTTAAATTTTGATAGTTGGTTGTTGTATTAATCTATGTAAAAAATGTAAATATAGATTTTTTTAATAGTAAATATGGTTTTTTAATTTTTTTTTAGAGAATGAAGAAATTATCGGATATAAGGTCCAAAATATGCGATCTCAATATGAAGAAAAAACATTTGTGTAAATTACTTATCAGAATACAAATGAAACATTAAGGACGATTTTTATTATGAGAAGAAATATGAAACTAAAATGGAAAATTACTAATATAATTTGCAGAAGTGTTTTTTTATTTTTGAGTTTAATAACTAACTCTTCTAAATTAGTGATTGTAAGCTTTATCCTAAGACATACGAGATGGACTATACTCATAAGATCAAATATATGTTAGTATTAAAATAATATTTTATCAATAAAAATTTTATCTCAAAAACATAGATTTGTTTTTAATTGTCGATTTTAAGGCAGAATATAGTGATTTTAAAAAAAGTTAAATTCTGTGCATAATATATTGGTATGTAACTTGTGCACGTAGGTGTGTTGCAACTTATAACTGATCATCTATAAGAGCATTTAAAAGACCACTTCCAACAACTATAATGAGGAATTTATATGAACCAAAAATAATAAAAGCTACACTCATTTTCAATGCCAAGAGTCTGAAAGACCACTTGCAGCATTAAAATTTTGTACAACAGAATATATTATGACTGCACATTCCAAACCTCCTACATAACTATGTATATTGGTGTATGCAACATCCTTATTACAAACTAAACACACATCAAAGTATAACATTTACTAATCTTAATTATGCATTCCGAAGAGTACTACTTAGAATTAGGGGAGTCCTGGGGTGAGTGCAGGTTCAGCTGCGAACTCAGCAGCATCAAAAGATTGTGGAGGAATTGCTGTGAAGTGAAGAGAGTGCACGGGTCCTGGTGCCACAATACCAGAACTTTTCATCTCACTCATTTGTCTACGAGCATTTGCACCTTGTGCTTCACACAGTTTTGGAAGAAACACACCTGTCCCAAAAGTACGTGATATAATTTTCTTAATTCCCATCTCAAAAGCTTAAGTGAAACAAAATTGGAGGAAGATGATAATATAAAAGTATTTTTAATTATTTTTTGGAGAATGGTTAATTAGTTTGTGTAACTGAGCTATACTTTCAAACACATGAATGGACGGATATATAAAGAAATGTTTTAACTTAATTAATAGTTTCAAATTTAAATATTGAATTTATGACCATACTAAATACTTGAAATGAGAATTTTGTTGCTAATAATAATTTATTTGATTCAAATAGAATTGTCTTTAATAAATATAATATTATTTATATAAAAATGATATATATTTGTAAATAAATTTAGAAATGTTCTTAGAACCTTTTTTTTTTTTTTACTAAAAACACTCTTTATTTTCTTGATGAGAAATTCATAAGTTTTTTAATTTGTATCCGAATATACTCAGATTATTATGTTTACCTTCACCAGCTGCAAGGTTGAAGTAAAGATCAACAATGTTGGGGCAGCTTTGGTAGCATTGAGGGGAACACAGATTTTGTGTGAAACGAGTTTCCAAAAGAGAATCTGATGAGATTCCAAAGGATTTTCTGTCCAAACCACAAGCCTTAATACATTCATCACTCTCAATATGGTTCTTTTGTTTTTCAGCTTCAATCTCTGAAGTCTTGCACGTGTATGCTTCTTCCCCTGTCCTCTTCACACGCTTCTCAAGCACGCACCGTTTTCCTTCGTATGACACCGCAAATGCGCACGTGTCGTGGCTCAAATACTCACACTCTATCTCCCCTGAATTTCACCATTAATATTACCACGCATATATTTCAGATGCCAAAACATGTGTTTTTATTAGCAAAAAAATATTATATATAAAGATGAAAACAAAGTTAAAGTAAAGACTTTATACATATTATTTTAAATTAGACCGATGTTAATATTTGGCTAAAATCATGTTTTAAATAAAGAGGTTGACAAGTTTTGGAGACGTTACCAAGAGTTCCTTGCACGGTGGCCAAAACTGCAAGGAAAACAATTGCCAAACATCTGAAGCTAATGTTAAAGGCCATGGCTGAAGCAGAAGAAGATCGTTGGGATATTGGCCAAAAAAACCTAGCTTAGGAGTTTGGAAATTTGGCTGTGCTTTTCTACTTGGAGGATTGGTGTGATGGTTCATGTTAATTAATGAGTGTATTTATAGCGGTTTCTTAGAGGAAGAAAATTCTTTTTCTAAGTGTAAAAGGATATTTTATTAGGAGGTGGACTTTTCGATACGAATCAAAAGAGCGGAAGAGAAAGAACAGTGTTTTAGTCGTTTATTGAAGTTTGATTTAACTTATACACGATATAGGAAAAAACGTTTTGAAATTTTTTATTACGTAACACGTTTTTTTTTATAAATATTTTATGTAAGATTACAGATTACTTACCTCATTTTCAATATATGAAAAGATATAAAACAAAAAAAAAAATTAAGTATTGCCTACCATTCCTAGTGCATGAAAAGATATACAATAGTAAAATATGAGAGGAGCCGAATTTAATCTCAAGTTCTAACTAATTAATAGAAGTAAAATGAACTTAACCAATTATATTTTGCAATTAGATTTCTATAACTCTTCTTATAATTAAAAGAAAGATAAACGAAATAAAGAAAGAAGCAATAAATGCTATAAAGACATAAAAAAATGAATTATAAAATAGGATTATAGAAAATACATGTTAGGATATAAATGAAATTCTTTTCTTACAATAAAAATGAGACGATTTTTGTTGTCTCTTTTGAATTTAAAGAAATTATTTTTTAAAAAAGTATTTATAAAAAGATAAAAATAATATAGAAAAAAAAAGCTACATACAATATCAAATCAACTTAATTGGAATAAATGTTTCTTTCATATTATCTAATCATGAATTGTTATATAATCCACAATTATTTATATATTTTAATAATCATTTTAAAACTTCCATTAGAATTCCCATTTAATTAATTACAATATCATCTTATTATACACTGTCCTAATTAACCTTCCATCTTAGTATATCTAAAGTGGTTTCCAATTAACTAGTTCAAAAAGAACCACATGAAAAACAAACTCTTATTTTAATGGATTAAAAAAAAATAAAACATCAAATAAGATACAAAAGATTATTATGATTGAACAATATGGAAGGCATACAAGGTTGAGCATTTGAGCCGTGTGAGGTAGGGTTGTATGGTATGATGGCTCCAATGAGGAATTAATTAAGTTTGGTTAATAGTCAAGCAGTTTCCGCTATCAATGGAGGATCTGTTGCTCCAAACTACCTACGATACCTACATGTGTCACTTTATCATTCAAACCAAACAAAACATTGCTCCTAATGGGTCCACATATAGAAACTATTCTCATGTTGAAAATTACGTTTTGACCTTGTAATGCCACAGCACAGGTATTTTTTTTTTTTTGTTTCAAATAAGAATAATTATTGACAGTGAAGCTAAGTTTCTTCACAAAATTAATTTAGTGCCCCTATCTACTGGTCGTGTAACGAGTGATTATTTTAGTTTAACAACTCGAGTTAAAATCTCTTTACGTGCCAATTTAACGGTGATTTTATGAAAACAACATTAAATTATAAAATATAAAATAGTTAGTAAAAAATCTATCGGTAGAATTTGATTTATCTTTATATATATTTATATTTGTTGTAATTTTTTTTATAATTCTTAAATGAAAATAAAGAAGTTAATTATTCACTTAAATTTGCAGTTAAAAAAAGTTATTCACTTATATTTTTGAAATTTAAGTAAAATTAGTAGTATTTTTGTGTGTTAAATATATCAATTTGAGCTGACACTTTTGTGTGTCAAATATTTTGTTAAATGATCTATTTGAGTTTGTGTAAGTGATGAGTAACTTATTTTACGTAATAAATAACAGAAGTTTGAATCTTGACTTTCAAAAAATAATGCAAAAAATTGATCAATTGTTAGGATCTAGAAGAGAAAGATGTTCATTTCTTTAATATTTATCAAATTTTTGATAGAAATTAGTCTATGTGTAAGTGTTCGAGGGGAAATACTTTTTTGATAATAAATAAATTTTTTTTTTAATGTTTTTAATATTAACCTACAGATCAAGGTGGCTAAAAGCTAAGCAGCCAAGTTTCATTCTTGGCGCTGTTAGGAAAATAAAAGATGATCTGGCCTTGTATCCTAGCTAGTGTGGAAACCGACAATGTAGTTCCTTGTTAAATATGCCATTGTATATAAAAAAGGAAATGAAAGAAAAACTAAAATTTGCTTATGGCTATAATTTATCCCATTACATATAATACATTTAAAAGCTTTGGATAATTTACTTTTATGTATAATTTTATCTTGCTATGAGATTTGGTTTTTATTATATCTGATACAACTATCGAATTTCTTAGAGTTTTATAAAATTGAATTTTAGTTTATGAGTCACAGATAATTTAATACATAAAAACCGTTCAAACTAATTCATCATAACAATAAATGAAAAGAAAATATTAAAATAAGAGAAAATATGTTATGAATGTTAAATAGTTTTACACTATTATTCAATTACAAATTATTCAAAGATAAATTTTTTAATTTTATAATAATTATCTTATATTTCGTATTAATGATTATAAATGATTATTTTTAATTGACAATATAAATTTTTTAATGTCAATAATTTTTTTTAGAACAATCAAATTTCAAATAATAAAAATATAGGAACAAATATTTTAATGAAATGGACGAAAACCTAAAAATATAAGATAGAACATATCTGTTTGTTTATAAAAAAACAATTGCTTATTTTTAATAAAATAAACATTTTAATTTTTTTTATGTGCTTGTCTAATTTTTTATTAAATAAACAGTTTTTAAGGCAACTCCTAACTATCTATTTTTAAATGGTTTTTTTAAAAGCATTTGTTTAAAATCATTTATTTTTAAATTTAAACAAACTGACTCAATATTTAGAAGGAAAAAATATAAGTGTTGGGATTTTTGTGACAATTGTACCTAATCTGCAATAGTATTTTTTTGAAGTATGACTTATCATTCTACAAAGACTTAAAAGATATTTTTGTAGTTTCTAAAATCCTAATTAATTAAAAGTTGTAAAAGAAAAGATATATACTTGAATATAAACATGTTTTAAATTTCAATATTCAATTAATACCACTACTAGAAAATGGTGAAATAACTGCAAAAAATAAGTGCTGGATAATAATTGGTACAAATACTGTCAGAAAAATCGACACTATTTTAAGATATAGTGTCATCTTTTTTGACACTAAATTTAAATTAAGTTTAGTGTTGGAAAAACTGACGTTATTCTTTAAATATAGGGTCGGCTTTTTCGACACTAATTTAATTTAAATTTAAATTAAATTAGTGTAAAAAAACCGACACTATATCTAAAGAAATAGAGTTGGTTTTTCCAACACTAAACTTAAAATAAAAGTATGCGTGCTTTAAGAGAGATAAAGATAATTTTTTTCAATATTATATACACATAATATGTTTTGGTTCACTTGGTTATCAAGTTCACTTAAAACCTCTAGGTTCACAGATCAAGTCTCGAGAATGTTAAAATTACGAACGACACAAAAAAAATTGTGTCAACTTATTTAGCGTCAGTCAAAAATAATGAATAACTGACAATATTACGTCAATTTTTATGATTTAGAGTCGGCTTTTGGTCGACTCTAAACTGCTACATTTTTGTAGTGTACGTAAACTAGTTATAGAAGATAAGTGTAAATTTGAAAGGAAGACATTAAGAGAAATGGTTGGAATTGAATTTTACTTATATTACTCTTTCACTTTTCAAAGGTTATCTATATATGATTTTCATCACTCAATGTTATTGAACTCTTAAGGTCATTCTAAATCAATTCCTTGTTTCTATAAATTCTTATGATCCTAATTTTATAACTGATTCCTCAATTTATCAAATCAAAGTCTTTACATTAAATTCAAGAATTTATTTAACTAACGATTCTAAATCTATTCCTAACCTTTAAAATTATCAGGTGATTTGATTTATAATGGATTTAGAAAATATCTTTTGATTAAAGTCTTGATAAATGTCAATTTTACTTGGAAATTATAATATTTTTAACACTTATCTAACTATGTTTAAAAGAAATATGTATTTTAATCCCTAAAATACTATAAGAATCAAAAGGTTCTGTAAATAAGTTAGGTAATAAAGAGTTGATGGATTTTTACTAATGAACCCTTATTTTTCATGCAGATTTGATAAAGTCCCAAGACTCTAAGATTTCTAAAACCCTTTCAACCATTAATTTGAAAATGGTTAAATGGATCAAAGGTAGAGAGTAAAGTGGTTGTAGAGTCAAATCTGCTCAATCATTTGGAAAAGGTTGAGCAAATTTGGTCTAGAAAGGTGTAAAAATTAAATTTGGATCCTAAGGGATAAGCTGATTGGAATTAGCTTAACTAATGAAGGTTTCTTCACTTGGAAGAATTCAAATATTCACTTATCCATTTGGAAAGGGTTGAGTAAATTACTTTTTTTATGCCTACTTTGTTTTAATTGCTAGACATTTTTAAGGGAGGAAGAGAGAGGAAGTCTGTAACAACCCAATTTTCAATGGGCCCTAGGCCCAATTCGTTGCCCAGAACGGGCCGTTTCAAAAGTGAAACGGGTCGTTCTGGAATAAGTTAAAGGCCCAAAATTGGAAAAGCAGAACGGGCCGTTCTGGAGGAGAACGGGCCATTCCGGTTTGGAGAACGGGCCGTTCCGGAGGGAGAACGGGCCGTTCTGCTGGGATTGGGAACGGGCCGTTCTGGTTTTGGAACGGGCCGTTCCAGTTCAAAAATTTGCGTAGATTTAAAGGATCCAGAACGGGCGTTCCACTTTTGGAACAGGCCGTTCCGGTAGGTGAGCCTGAAATCCTATAAATAGCGCCCCTCACCTGTCATTTTCACACATCTCTTATTCTCTCTTCCTATTATTTTCTGTTCTCTCTTCTTTCCCTTTTTCTTCCGTACTCTCTGAAGACCGAGAGGAACCCAGCGAAGGAGATCAACCAGATCCTTAGTTTCAACTACTATTTATCCAGGTACTGGGGAAAAGGGGATTATTTATATGTGGAGTTACATGAGGGAATTGGGTAGAAGAAGAGCCCTTAG